AAGAATTCAAATCGATCCAATCATTTCAGTGCAATGGTAAGGCGAAAAGAAAAAAAATATGAAAATGTTTAATTAAGAGTTCAACTTATTTTCTAAACTATGCCAAAACATTCTCGATAAAATTATACATCTTCAACTGCATGTTGCAGAATTTTAGAAAAAATATTTAAAGATAATGATTTCGAAGAAAGGGTATAAAAACAGCGAAAAATCTCTGTTCTGATAAACCTAGACCATAATTCTTCTTTTTATTCGAAACCACATAACCTTCTTTTCTGCTCAATTTAACAGTTACACCAGTTTAATCAGCATTGAATTCTAATTCGATGGCATAATAATAAATCTTCTATAGTACAAATTTGACTTTTGACAGCATGATTTCAAAAGTGTACCACAAAGTAAGATCAGCCGTAAAGTGCAAGCCTTTTCTTCTCCTGAGCCACGTCATCATGAACTTTGAAAAGATCATAGAAGAAACGAACAAAAAGCTTTCGATGTATTGTTGTTAAATATTTCCATTTTAGAACTGGTCTTCATGCCCAAAATCTGCAACTAATCGATCAATGTCAGCAAAAAATAACAGAACGTAGTTGAATGATGAAGTAGAAATGAGTAAGTCTTAATATGCGTCGGAAAAAGAAACCTGTTTTAAAAAACAAAGTCGACAACTTTGTGGAACTTGAAAATCTTTATCTGTTGGTATATTAGGGAATTTTTTGCATAATTTAAGAATAAGAAAAAAAGTACTAAGATTCAGTGCAATTTATTCCAGAACATCCGTCACGAAAATGAACTGAGTTTTCAAGTTCATAAATGATATTTGACATAGCAATATATATCATCATATTTGATTGGCTTCAAATAGATAAATTCGATTTAGTTACACTCTAAAAAAAAAAGGCTTTTTACAGAACCTAAAAAGGATCTTATTCTGGGCACACGGAAAGATCCTTTTTTGGTTTTGTAAAAAGGGAGGTTCGGTACTAAACCATATCTCAAAAACTGAAATAAAGGTTCCGTAGCAAAGGTTTTGCACTGAACCATAATTCAATAATTGGAATAAAGGTTTCGTATCAAAGGTTTTGTACAAAACTATTTCACAAAATTAGAAATAGGTTTCGGAGAAAAGGTTCGGTACAAAACCTATTCCAGACACAGGAAAGTAAGGTTTCGTAGCGACAGTTCCGTAATGAGCTTTCATTAGCAATCCTTACGATAGGTTTTGTGCAAAATTATCTGCACTAAACCTTACTCAACACTTGAGAACTCAAAATTTCACATAACCCACTGGTGCCGCCGGTGGTATGCGTTCCATTTCGAGTATTTCGCAAAACCCAAGGATTGTATACATAAAACGAATCAAACGTAAATGGAAATAATCTGTAGAGTAATTTTCGGCATAAATACAGTGAAATTACTAAAAGAGTATTTTCCACATAGTATTGATTAATTTGATATCTACATTTCTGGTGTTTTTCAGGAACATTTGAAATGGCATGCATACCACCGACGGCACCAGAGTTTACAAATCATCGTCAATGATGATTTCCATATCCCACACAATCTAAAATATACAAAAAAATCAATATAAGCAACTTAAACAGATAAAACTTACTCCTAGATTTACACCCTTGCCTCAACCTACAATTAACAAAATAACTAATTCCTTCTATTGACAAAGATTCAACTTACCTAAACATGCATATTTCTTTCAACCTAAAACAAAAAGACCAATAATATTTTATATTGTAGAAGTTCAAACTTACCTAAACGTGTATATCTCGATGAACCTAAAATAAAAAGACTAATAATATATTATATTAAAGAAGTTCAAACTTACCTAAACATGCATATTTCGTTCAACCTAAAACAAAAAGACTAATAATATGTTATATTATGGAAGTTCAAACTTACCTAAACATGCATATCTCGACCAACCTAAAACAAAAAAGACTAATAACGTATTATATTGTAGAAGTTCCAACTCACCTAAACGTGTATATATCGATCAACGTATAATAATAATAAAAGGAATAATTCTTCTTCTTTCATAAAATGGAAAGTACTTCAAAGTCGATAGATGGATGAATCTATTGTGACAAAATAAATAATATTTTATATCTGAGAATATCAAACTTACTTAAATGTCAATACATGGATGAACCGATAATAATAAAATAAATAATGTTTTATATTTGTGAAGATAAAACTGACCTCAATGTGTGTACATCGATGAACCTATACTAAAAAACGTAATAGTTCTTTTGATGACATTGGATAAAATTTACTTGAGCGTTGCATATATCGATGAGCGTGGGAAGACAAAAAACTTTTTTTTGTTTCACAAGATAATACTTAGATCAATGTGCACATGTGGATGAATGTATAAGAATATAGCGAATAATTCTTTTTATTTCAAAAGATGAAACTTTCTTCAAAATCCATAGATGAATGAAGCTATAATAAAAATATTAAATAATTCGTTTTCTTAAATAAGATGAAACTAATCTAAGCGTGTATATTTTGATGAGTATATGAAGAAAAGTGAAATTTTTTTTTTATTAAATAAAATCAAATTTTCCTACAAGTAAATAGATGAATGAACCTTTATTAAAAAATGAAATAATTATTCTTATTTCATAACATGAAACTTACGTAAACGTGCATGTATCGGTGGACCTCGAGTAATGAAATAAATAATATTTCATGTTAAATAGGGTACAACTTACCTAAAAGTCTATATATGGATGAACCTATAATGGAAAGATTAAATAATTCGTTTTCTTAAATAAGATGAAACTTACGTAAATCTGCATACATCGATGAACCTGTAATAATAAAATAAGTAGTTTGTGTATTTGAGATGATAAACCTTGCTTAAATGCACATGTATCAATGAGCGTATAACAAAAACAGCAATAATTGTTTTCATTAAATACGATCAAACTTCTCTAAACGTCAATACATCGATGAAATTATAATAATAAAATAAATAATGTTTTATATTTGTGAAGATAAAACTGACCTGAATGTACGTACATCGATCGATCTATACAAAAAAATTAGTAGTTCTTTTTAATAAATTAGATTGAACTTACATAAATGTTGCATATATCGATGAGCCTAGAATACAAGAAAAGAATATTTTTTTCTCAGAAGGTAAAACTTACGTCAATATGCATATATTCATGAACCTATAATAATAAGATAAGTATTTTTTGTATTTCAGATGCTCAAGCTTACTTAGATGTGCATATTTGGATGAATCTATAATAAGAAGACATATTTCCTTTTATTTCATAAGATGAAGCTTACCGAAACGTGTATATATCGATGAACCTATTATAAATAAATAAATAATGGTTCTTGATTTGAGAAAATGAGAATCATCTGAGAGTATATATATCGACGAACATATAATGAAAAATAAATCCATTTATTAAATGTGATCTGATGAAAGTTACCGGAAAATGCATATATTGATCATTAGATAATAGAAGAATTAATTAATTAATTTGTTTCCTAAGGTTCAACATATCTGTCGTTTGTATGTTTGAAGCGACGTGCAACGGAAAATGAATCATATTATTTGATTATTTGGTTTTATTTGATTAATTGAAACTTATTGGATTTTATGTATTCGTGTGTATGTGTAATGGCACAAATAACTCTATTTATCGTATTAAGAAAACGCTAGCTCGCTGTTTGAATTAGTTCAATAAAAAGGTATGCACTTCATTTTTTTTTATAAAATATACTATGCACAGATGATTGAAAAAGTTGAAACAATATGGTGAGTGGTATAGACTTGATTGATTGTATGAATGAGTTTGTACGTTTGACGAACTGATTGTTGCATGAATGCTCACTACTGTTTTAGAGTTTCTCACTGATTGATTTGATGTATATATGACGAATCGTTTTAAAAAATATTGTTTGAAAAAGCTAAAATTCTCCTCTTCTTTTGATGTCATGTGAAAATGTAAAGAAAAAGTACAATATCAACTAAAAAGCAAAACAAGAAATATAATGACATAGAGAGAAGATTAGACGAAGCAAATGTGAATGAGTCTAGTTTGATAAAATTTATTCAATTCGAATTCGTTTCCCTGCAAGTCTTGCGGACTGTTTTGCTGTTGCTGTGATGGATGAAGATGAAGTGTGTTGTTTACGTTTTCGTTTAATTGCTGCTGAATGAGGTTCTTTTCCTTCAGTATATGTATCTGGTTCATCTTCACACTGCTGTTTTGATGAGGATTTATCCGAATGATAGATTTTTCCTGTTTTCTCTGAGTATATATTGTTGGAATAATCTTCGATAGTAAATGATGATGTTGTTTGATTTTGAATGATCACTGGTGAGCTGCATTGAGACATAGAAAATGGAGAAGCTACTGATAATTGTTTAAGTTCTTCATCATCATTATCCATGTGTTGATTAAGATCATCATTCATGTGTTGATTAAGAGATTGTTGATCAATATTGGTCGACCTGGTCAAATTTAAATTAGATGAAGAATATTGATCTTGTTCAACTTGTTTACGTGATGCACCAACAATCTAAAACAATATCAAAAGTAAATCTTCATTTACGTTGGGGAGAAAGCCAGAAAAACGTAAGGTGTCCGTTATTCATTTTAAAATGAAACAACTCAACTAACTATTCTTAATGTATTTATATAAAACTTAAAAATAATTTTAGTTATGTTTTATAAAAAAATATATAACACTCTCTGTATATCGTGAAAAAGAAAGAAAAGTGAAAAAAAGGGTTTTGACACTTCTAGCAGATAACCAGAGATGGACACATCAAAATACGATCTTGAAATGTTTTTTTTTTAAACTATTCAGTTAGATTAAGAGACTTACTTCATTTGAAATATTAGATGAAGATAAGATTTTGTTCACGATTGATGGTTGATTAAAATTTTCGATCAGATTTGTAACCATTGCTTGTCGTTTCGTCAATGGTCAATTAACAATTTTACATTGCCAGTTTTTGAGCAAGTTTTTGAGATAATGTGAATCTTCAAATAATATCCAGTAAAGCAGACGACATGTTCGATTATGTAGGCCAAAGAGAATTTCAAAAACATAGTATAACGAGAGAAGAAGAGCAAGAGCTGTGGAACATGAAGTAGTTTCCGTTATTAAACAGAAGTCCAAGTAAAGCTCAAATCGATCATCATGAATTTTCATGCATGGATAAGGTACAAGTACTTCCTATGTATAAAGTTGAAACAATATATTTTATACTGAAAAGATAAAGAGACAGTTACCTCATGGGTAAATATGTTACCAACGGGATCACCAAAAAATTTACATAGAATACGAATAACACGAATAGGTAATACATCTTTAATGAAAAGATATGATATTTTAACGGTCTTGGAAAATTTATTTATTCTTCTTAAAAAATGAGTATATGAAAGAGCATTGTTTAAGTTTTTATGTAGATAAAAAATATGTTTTTGTTGAACTGATGGTCAATTTGCAAGGTGTTATCACAAAAACGATTTTAGATTTCATGATGTTATAATTATACTATGAAAAATAATCAGTCTGGCAGTTAAAAACACATAGAAAAATAAGCTTATCCCACATGATATAGATTCAATTTTTTCCTTGAATTTTCCTACCTTTTTTTCAATGTCTTACCAGATAAAAGGCAGTTGTTATCAGGCAGATGATCAAAGAACTTTGGCAATAGATCGTTCACATTTTCTTCGATATTAACACCTGCACAATCTTTAACTTCAGCTAAGATCTAAAACAAAAGAAAAACATAACACAAATCAATTAAGAACGCAGATGAACTATGAAAGCTATGGGTAAAAATTGTTTGAAACATCAGTTTAATACATTATCTTGTGGCATTTTTTCATAAAAAAGAATTCATATATCAAAGCCGGCTTTTACAATAAAAGTATGACAATTATTACTTTCAATGATAATGTCAATGAATAGAAAATTTTGGAAAATTACGCTGTTTTTCAGAAACTATAAGTAACAACAATTTTCAAATAAAAAACATTTCAATATTTCTCGGAGGTATCATTCGATTAAATTTAAAAAATATTAATAAAAGGGACTCTTGATCATTAGAACAAGCCATTTTTATGCGAGCTTAGAACGATTTGTCTTAATTGCTGCAAATATGACGCTCAAATATTCTGTAAGTAATAGAGAGGAGATGCTCATCGTATCTGTTAAAGAAAATCGAAGAAAAATGACTTAAGATCTTCGTATGAAAACTATGAAAAGAAAATCTATTGTCTTTTGAAACAAATTAGGGTGTGGGTAGGTGTGAGTGTAGATCAAGCAAAGACCCACACCCACACGCATACCCCACACCCACACCCACACCCACACCCACACGCACACCCACACCCACACCCGCCCCCACACCCGCCGCCATCG